CAGGTGTTTTTCTGCCCAGGAAGGGTGGAGTGGTGCTGGTTTAAAAATGACTGATCGCTCCCGGCAGTTGGTTGGTTGCATTTCCTAGCTTTGGTCTCTTCTACTGTGCAGCAGCAGGCGGTCGTCTTTCCAGCGGCACGTCCCAGTCCCCAGCGTGGCAGCATGCTTCTGGCCCCAGAGGAGCTGGGAAGAGCCAGCAAGGCCCCTCTGACTTGGGCTGACACCAAACCCTGGACCTGGCCCTTCACAGCGCTCGGAGAATTGTCCCAGGCACAGCTGTTGCGCCTGGGCATCCGTTCATTGAAATTGGGTGGTGGCGATGGTGGGGCTCTGTAGGAAAAGGGCCTCTGCAGTGCATCTCTGGATTTGAAGGAAAACAAGAACATGAAAGAGAAAGTTTCGGGATCATCTCCTTTAGACCACACTAATGACCTTAAATGGCAAAGTTTTGTTGTGTTTTTTTTCCTTTAAGTGGCTTTTCTTTAGAAATTTGCATTTCCTCAGTGCAAAAACATTAAACAGAAAGCAAACATCTACATAAGATAACCCTCCCCACCCCCCAAACCAAAGATAATTACTTGGAAATCATCCCACTAAAACACATCATCTGTGGGCCAGCCCAGACCCTGTCTCCCACGGTGTCACACCTTTCCCTCCTTTGCGACAGGGTTGAGATTTTGACCTTTTGGCTGATCTGCAGTGAAAGGCACCGAGCGTTTCCAGTGCTCGGTGCCTGTAGGATGGGAGCTCATCCCTCAGCATCCCTCCAGAGCGAGCATGCCACAAATGCAAACTCCTGAGTCTTGCTGCTTCTTTAGAGTGTGGCATTTCATGCAGCTCCTGACAGCCACTGGCAATTGCCAGAGAAGCAATCCCTCCCCTCCCTGGGGCTGGATTTTGGCCTGGGTAGCTCAGAGGGGTTGGAGAAGCTGGACCAGTGCCTGGTCTCCAAACGCCGTGCCCAGCGTCGTCTCCTGCTGTGCCTGGGGCAAGCTCAGCTTTGCTCTAGCATCTTCTGCCCCGTAACCACGGCTCCAGTGAGCAGGCACGTCCCCAGGAGGGAGGGAGCTGCACAGTGCTCCCACCACCCCCACTCAGCGTGGCATGGCCAGCCGCGGTCGGCATGGCGTGACCGAGGCCATGAGGCTGCTCCGGAGACCTGGCCGGAGCCTCTGACCCAGGGTCCCCTGTGCAGGACCCACAAAATCCCTCGTGTGAGCTCATCAATCCTGCTTTGCACCCTCTGGGACAGGGCCTAGCCCACCGCCAGACCGGTCGCCGAGGGCTCAGAGCTGAGAGCCATTTCGTCCGGGCAAGGAGGGGCTGGCAGGGGTGTGGTGCCAAGCTCCACGCAGAGGAAATCGGGCTGGTTTGAAATCTAATCTGAGCGCTGTAGAGGAAGGACAAGCAACGCACCTCCCTGCAGTTAGCGCTGCCTGGCTGGGGCAGGGACAACGTGTCTGCTGGCAGCAGGGCCGGTGCTGCTGCGCGGTGTCTGGAGAGCGTAAATTTATTCCAAGCCTTGCTGCTTGCCATCCTGTGCATCATTTCCTCCACCTGCCGTTTCTCCTCCCTGCTTATTATACATAAGAATAATAAGCGGTTTGGGGCGGAGAACGGCTGTCTGGTTGCTGCTGTCTGCAGCGTAGCCTGGCCCCGGCGCTGCTGGCCCACCGGCTCTTACAGAGCAATGAGTGAACTCAAAGGGCCCCGGGCATCTGCGCTCGGAGCTTTCACTGGGATCAAGGAGAAAGCCAGACCTTTGCACAAGGTTACTGCAGGATGCAGACTCACGGAGAGGGCTGCTGCTCACAGAGAGAAACGAGGGAGCGGCGTGCAGTGGGAGCCCTGTATTTGGGAGTGAGGTTTTAATCGAACAAAAGCCCCGGTGCCCAAGGGCTAGCATGAAGGACAGCCTGTGCTCCCAGAGCTCCCTGCCTGAGTTAGTACAGCCCTACCACGAGCCCGGTGGCTCTTCTGATGTGCTAGAGCCTGCTCTGGGCAGAAAGGGAGGGATATAGCGATCTGTCGGTTTGGTTATACCTACACACGTACTCTGATTTTATTTCCAGGAACTGTTTCAGGGGTTTTCCGTTCTCATACCGCAGCTTTCCCTCAGATGCCCTCCTCCCAGCAATGCAGACTGATGGTAGATCAGCCCCACTGCCTCCCAGGTGCCCTCCTGGGACACTTGCCCCATCAGCTTGCCCATGTGCCCCCAGCACGGGCACCCTGCTGTCAGCTTGCCCAGAGTCCCCAGCTTTGAGCCCTGGCTGCCAACAAGGGCTGGCCCAAGCAGATAGGGGATGAAGGGCTGGGAAAGACGAGCGTTGGGCCTCTCTGACCCCTGAGCAGGGCGCCGGAGGGCATCTTATCTGAGATGGCAAAATCAACACAGCAGCGGCTCGCAGGGCATGCTGCGGACAGAGCGACGACAGCACCCAAGCACGGTGGTTGTGCCCGGCCTGGCAGCGCTGCCCACGCAGGGCACGACTGCCACGAAGCAGCACGCTTACTGCGTGCCAAAGCGGGTTTAGGACAGGTCTTCCTCCTGACCCACTCTCCTCTGCTGGAAGCCTTGGAGCTGTATGTGCTTTTTTAACCTGAAATCACAGGCAGCAGGAAGCAAAGCTGGTATCATGTTTTGGGCGGGCACAGCCGAGTTGAAATCACTTGTCACAGACCGACGTTAGGACTGGTAACCAGAGACTGCTCCAGAGATGGTGATTTAGGATTAAAGCAAGCCTCATGCGACATGCCGGCCCCGGAGGAGCGTTGGCAGAAAGTGGCCCAGGGAATGGGCACACAAACAGGGTTCTCTGGGTAGAAAAAAATCTCCCATAGCAGGACCAAGGATTTGGGGGGAAAGGGGGTGGGTGGCATTGAAGTCTCGGAGTGCTAATTGTTCTATCGCCTTTGTCTGTTGTGTTTTTTCGTCGGTTCCTGGCTGCAGTCACAAGCCCAAATTAGCTTATTTAAACCAGATGCCTGCAGAGAATCTGTAGTGACCGCAGCCAGAGCTTCTGGGAGGATTCCTGCCTAGCTGAACAGGGTTGAAAGTACTCCAGGGATTAAAAGGAGGTATTACCCCCTACCTCCCCAGCTCTCCCCATCCTTTCAGTAGCAAATTGTTCATCTGCATGGTAGAGGAAGGTGTTTTGGAGTTGCTGCTTTGCTAGCAGCTGCCCACAGCTTCACTGGGCGGGAGAGGAGAGGAGAGCGCTGCTCCAGCTTTGGCAACCAGCACGCTGCCCAGAGACCTGGCTGCCCTACCTTGCAAGTGCTCACACGAGGCAGCGGCACTGCCACGCTCCTGGGCTCTGTCCCTCGTCACATAACCATGGCCTCTGGGGATAAGCAGTGGCCGTGGCCGGGCAATCGCCTGCTGGTTTGCCCCTAAGCCGGACTTTGGTGCCGGTGGGGCAAAGCAAGGAAAAGGGCTGGGCTTCAGGGCTCAGAGAACATTTCTGGAGAGCATCTGAGGGAAGGTTTAATCCTGACCAACAGTCAAAAGAGGAGGGATGAGGCTGGGTGCAGGAGGAGTGCAGAATCTGGCTGTGCTCTCATGACAGCTTCTGTCCTTATGGCAGCAGAGAAGACGCACGGCGCCCGCAGAGAAGCCGCACGGCTCCAGTTCGGCACCAACACGGCTCCAGTTCAGCTGTCCCCAGCCCCTCGGGTGCTCTTGTGCTGGAGCAGAGTCAAGAGTTGTTGAAAGTCTGTGAGCACGGAAAAGATGTCCTTCCAGTGTGCAACGTGCAATCCCTCCCTGAGCGGAGCAGACGCGTCACACAGCATTAACCCTAACAGATTTACGCTTTGCTGCGGGCACACAACTGCCCGCAAGCCCCAGGGAGCGAGAAACAACGCAGCAAACTGGGACAAGCCGGCAGTGGGGAAAATTAAGGTAGATAAGGGCTAGGAAGCGCAGACAGGAAGGACAACTTTGAACACCACAGGACTGTATGGCACAGCTCCCTCGAGGCTGCAGCCTGAGACCCGCAGCTCTTCACGCAAAGGACAAGCTCAGCTCCCGTCACAGGACACGCTGAGGCAATTGGAGGCCCAAAGATCGGGAGGAAAGTGTGGACAGCCACCAGCTAAGGCAGTGTGAGAGCCAGGAATGGGAAGAAGAGAGGTGTCCTGAGCCTCAGGTCCGTGCCCTTGACGCAAAGATTTGGTCACCTCTTTGAAACAGGTTCACCTGGGGCAGCCCAATGGTGATTTCTGGTCAGGACCACAAGGCCAGGAAGGGACGAGTACAGCAGGAGTGGTGCTCAGTTTAGCATTTAACCAAATCTCACTTTGCTAGGGACAAGCTGAAGACAGCAATAGCAGCCTGGTTTGCAGGCAACTTCAGGGCAGGGAAGGAAGAGAGCAGAGAATCCAGAGTAGGGTAGATGACGGTTTCCCCTGGTCCTGTTTGAACAGATGTGCCAGCGGCCAGACCAGCTTCAGAGGGGAAACCATAGAGGGGAAAGAACATCTGCAGTCATTATGCTTGCCAACAAAGCATGAAGTGACCTGACCACCCCCAGGAGCAAGTGGCGTAAGCTACTGAAGGTACAGTACGAGACAGCCTGATTTCCAGAGCTCAAAGACACCATGCTTCGAAGCAGATGGACATGATTTGTCCCGCAGCCAAACTGTGGGAGAAATGCTAAATCACACCTCGAAAATACCCTAGGACACCTCTCCTCAGCACCCCTGAGGCTCTGGGGCTGTGGCGTATGACGCTCTCTCTGCCCTGGCCTTTCTGTCCTGCTCTATCACATCAATCACAGCCTCGGGGCACGTGGGCCATGTGAACAGGCCGGGCAGCGGAGATGCAGATAGACCTGCAGGGATGCTGCACGACTCCGATTAGCGCAATCAGGCCATCACACATGGTTTCCTGGCTGCTGGGTACAGCTGGCCCCAAGGGTATAAAACCAGCCCTGGGACACACGGAGACTCAGACTTCCACGCATCTTGGAAGGAGCGTCCAGCTGTGGGAAGAGATGTGCCAGCCCCAGCCACTGCTGGCCCTGCTGCTGCTGCTTTCCTGCCCGTGGGCCAGCGCCAGTAAGCTGGGGTGCCGCGAGCTGCCGCGAGGGAGGCTGCTGGTCTGGGCTCCGGCCTCAGCGGCCGCCGGCTCATCCTGCGGTGGGGTGTCTTGCAGGTGCTCTACAGGCTCAGATTGTGGGGGGCCATGAGGCTCAGCCCCACTCCCACCCTTACATGGCATACCTGCAGGTTGGGAATTTTGCCTGCGGAGGCTTCCTGGTGGCCCCTGACTGGGTGATGACAGCTGCACACTGCATGGGGTGAGTACTTCGTACAGGGGCTTTATCCCTTTCTTCCTCCCCTAACCTGTGAGGTCCATCACTGGAGTAATATTGGAGTAGGTTCCTCTTCCTCCTGTGCCGAGCCGCGCTCCCCACCTGCCTGCAAAAGGGGAGGGATGTGGGTGAGACCCAACCTGTTTTCCTTCTTCTCCCCTCTGCTGCCATGGCCAGGAATGTCACAGTCATCCTGGGGGCTCACAACGTCTACCAACGAGAAAGGACCCAGCAGAAACGGGAAGTTCTCCAATACCACCAGCACCCTGAATACAACCACGACACCTTCTCTAACGACATCATGCTGCTCAAGGCAAGGCAGGCCTGCAGTGGGTTGGCGGGCAGAGTGGGGCTGTGGGTCTACCAGAGCACGTTCTTGCTGTTAGCTCCTTCTGCAAACCATCAGCTGCTTCTGCCCATGAGTGCTGGAGGCAGGCAGGAACGGGAGGGACCTGGGATGGAACCGTGGGCAGGGCTTGGAGCTGCATGCCCTATTCACAGCAGCTCACCAGAGCTTGCAGTGCTGTGTGTCCTGCTAGACCTCCCCTGCCTCTCCGCACAAAGTGTCCTTCAGCTGTTCTGCTTATAGCCTGCTCCAAAAACCTTGCTTTCTCCCAGCTGACAGAAAAGGCCACTCTCAATGCCTACGTCAAGACCATTCCACTGCCCAAGACCAGCAGCGGCCTCTCCGCGGGCACCAGGTGCAGCATAGCCGGGTGGGGCCTGACCGATGAAGGCTGGTTGACCGGCAAGCTCTTTGAAACCAAAGTCTCCACCTACAGCCACAGGAAATGCATCCGCAGCTTCCACAAGCTCAGGGACTCCAGCAAGGTATGGGCTGCCGACGGGCTGGGGGCTTGGCCGCAGGGCAGGCGGGTTTTCTGGGAGCAGGGGTTTCTGCTGGCACAGACTTAGCTGGTTCCCAGGAGAGGTGACAAGCATTGGATTTATAGCTTCCACGTGGACTAGCTCTTTGCGTGCCCTGACACCACCATCCATGCGCAGTCCCGGGGTAGAGCCCCAACTCACCTGCTCCGGACAGCTCCTCCAGCACGGTGGGCATGCGGGGCAGGAGCAGAGACACGGCGCTGCTGGCAGTGCCTGGGCAGGGAGGGACGAAGGTGAAGCCTGTTCCCACAGGGAAGAGGCCTCTAAAACTAGTCTCATCTGTCCTCAGGGAGATTCTGGTGGGCCCCTGGTATGCAATAAGGTGGCACAAGGCATCGTTTCCTTCGGGCGCAGCAACGCGCCCGGGGTCTACACCCGCATCTTCAACTACCTGCCCTGGATCAAAAAAATTCTGGAGAAGTAGCAGCAGCGGCACTCGCTCCAGCATTGGTGCAGCCCTGGAGACTGCACTGGTTTCCTTCCTGCCCCTGCTGAAGGTTTGGCTCCCTCCTCTCTCCTTGGGAACCCAAGTGACCTGATCAGTGCTCACAAGGGTCCCCTTCTTTCTGCTCTGAGGCTGCTGGCTGTCCCATTCCCTGCCCATGGCGGGCCGCCAGTTCAGGGCCATCTTAAATCACCCTGGCAGAAGCAGGCATCGTCCCAGATGGCACCAGAAAAAGGCTGTGCTACAACAGACCCCATTTCCTTCAGCGAGAACCCCCTCCCTGCTTGAATCTTGTTGCACTTAAAGCACCCACAGTAAACGCAGAGCTGCATGTCCCCGGTGTACGTCTTCTTTCTTGTACCTTGCCCCAGGGAGAAGCGAGGGAGGGTCTAGCTGGTCGAAGCGAGAGGTCAGCCTGTTGGGACAGAGGCAGCTGTGGCTCTGCAGCCACTGAATTGCTGGCAGACTTGGAGGACAAGAGCTGCAGTTGCCCTTCCTGGGGTGATGGGGATGAGCGCGTTGCAGGAAGAGAAACTGCCCAGGTAGAAACGGGCTGGGAAAAGTGATGTGCACGCGCTCCGTTCACCAACTTCAGCAATGTCACCACCCTGGGAGCAGCTGGCAGCCAGGATGTGGTGTGTCAGCAGGTAGCAGGGGTCAAAAGCTGCCATTCCCTGCGAAGTAATGACTGTCCCCTCTGCAGGGACCTCGTGCCTGGGTGATGTTGCACCTAGGACATAGGGCAGCCAAGACAGCAGGCTGGGTCACAGGGGAAAGCAGGCTAATCTTTTCAGCTGTCTTAGCTGTAGAAGGCTCCGGCAGGCGAAGGGAGCTGGACTTTCTGTGGATTGGGCTGTTTCTGTTCCCCCTTAGGCATAGGGCAGGTGGCGGCCGAGATCCCAGGGATGGGGCTTTGGGATCCCAGAGACGTACTCACAGTCCCAGCTGTTGCACACCAGTGCTTTCGGTCTGTGCCTCTGCCGTTCCCCAGCAGCCACAGTCCTCCATCTCCTCCTGAACAGCAACATGATGTCGTGGGTAGAGACATGGGTGCAGTCTCTGAAAGGATTGTACTGAAAGGGTTGGTAACGGAGCTGGGTTCACAAAAGCACCTGACTCCATGTCCCTTCCTCCTTTCCTCCCATGCCAACTACAGTGGGAGAGCCCAACTCTGTCCCTGGAGAAGGCAAGGGTGAGTCCTAGCTGGGAGCTGTCTGCCTTGGAGCTTGCTGGCACGTTTCTGTCCCTCTCAGGAAGGCAAGCCCAGCCCAAGCAGTACAGCACGAGCAGAGACTATCCTAGCAGTAGCACAAAACCAAAAGGGCTTATGACTCTCCCCTCAGCTGGGTGATGCTCAGAGGTAACTTCTCCTCCCCACAAAGGATGCTCTAGCACCGTTTTCAGACAGCCCCTGCACCAGGGTCTGAATACCTGGCACCAGCCCCTCCTTTCATGGCCCAGACTGGGCGTAAAGCAACCTGCCTAAACTCTGAGCCCTGGTCTCCTTCGTCCCAGCCAGTTTCTGATGGTGTCTCTCGTAAAGACAGGAGAGTGCTAGACGCTTTCCTGGAGGAGATGACAAGGGGCAGAGACAGTGCATTGGTAAATAACTGAGCTGCAGAACTCCCTGGTGCAGGATGATGGATGTCTGTGCGAGTTCAAGAGGAGACCAGACTGGTTTGCTGTGGGGAAACCCAGCCGGGGAATTTTAAACATACAGAAACTGTGTGCAATTCAAGAGAACGGGATGCCCTGTTCTCAGTCTTTCCTAGGCTCCCAGTAGCCAGTTCTTCCGAGGGAGGAGATGGCCTGCAGTCCGGCCCTGGACGTCTGCTCTTACGTTCTCCCTTTTCTTGCCTGGAACAAGGGGAAATGACATCGCCTTTGCCTTCAGCACCCATGCCACCGTGGGGAGACTGAGAAGGGTCCATGGTTTGGGCTTCTGCTAACAGCTGCTATCAGCTAGGAAATCTGCGAGTGAAAAGGCTGCAACTGCTTATCTGTGTAGTACAAATCTTTGTCACGTCAGGGTTTTCCTTGAAGCTCCAGCTGCTGCAGTCTTTGCACGAGAATGGCAGCTTTAACTTAAAAATGGGGTTTGCCCTGTGGCCCTGGGGGTAGACAGGAAAGCAAATTTACTGGCAGGCAGTGAGGGCGGTAAGGATGTATCAGCCCCGTTTCGTCACAGCCAGGGAAGGAACTGCTGCTGGGGGGATTGCATAGACATGCTCATCTTCCACCTTTCGCTGGAGCCAGTGGGGAGGCAAGGGGACATCCTGGGGGGAGCGAGTTCAGTGATTTGTCACCAGCCCTTCCTCCAGTACAGTACGGTCCCTCTCACCGCGGGCTGGCGGAGGAAGAGGAGCAGCTGCCGCGGGGCCTGGTCCAGGGAAGACGGATCCCTGCCGTGCACCGCAGAAAGGCGCCTGGCACTTGTTTGGCATTAAAAAAAAAAAAATAAATCACTGCCTGCCAGGGTGGGGGCAGCGCTGGCTGTGAGGCACTTGGACATGACCCTTCCCAGAGGAACAAGGCCACCTTCAGGGCCTTGTCGTCGGGTTATCTCTAGCTAGTGAAGGAGCAGAATCCCAAACCTGCATCCCTCATCTCCATCCACCCTCAACACACCAGAGGTAAAAGTGAGCCCCTGCCCCAGGGTGACGGAAGCGTCCTCCTGTCTTCCCTCACACCGGCTGGTGAGAGACAGCCAACTCCCCAGTTCAACAGTGAACAATTACATCTGGAAAGAAACACTCGAACTGGTGTCTTTTGCTGTACAGAGCAAAGCCCTCAGTCAGCAGCTGGTGCAGAACAGAGACCTCACGGCACCGGCAGCAGTCACACTGCTGTGGGCCACGCTCACAAAGCTGACGTAACAACTTCTTGCCCTCACGTAGCCATGCCCAGTGTGGTGTTACAAAGCACTCATGCCAATTTTGCTCTACACCTACTGAGAAAGAGCAGGAGGGTCCTCAACTGCCGCTGCACAGTCTGGAACCGGTACATCGAGTGAAAGAAATCTTGATAAAATGATAAAAATCAAGAGGGTTTGCAAGTGCGCAACAACAAATATGAGCTGCAAGGGAAGAGCCCACCGGCAGGCAAAGTGATGCAGGTGGGTATGCTCCCTATAGCTTCCAGCTCAAAGGCAATGGGTTAAAATCGGCTCTGGGTTTAGAAGGATGTCAGATACCCCAGATCAGGCCCAAGATGAAGGTGGGTTGATGCCCAAGGCTAAGGCTGACTGAATTCCCCTCCCAGATTGCTGAGACGTGCAATTTGCAGATAGATTAATCAGATGAGTCTGACTTCTGTGGTTTCCTGGAGTCTAGTCTCAGGCTATAAAACCTTGCTGGGAGCAGGAAGAGACCCCAGCTGCAGCCTCACCTCCAAGGGATCCACTGACGCAGAGAACGCTATGATGAAGCACCTGCAGAAACTCCTGCTCTCTCTCCTGCTGGTGACGTGCCCCCCAGCCAAAGCCAGTAAGTAGAGCAGCCCGGAGGTGGGGAGAGGGCTGGGCAAGGAAGAGCCCCAGACAGCACGTCCTGCGCCCTCCAATCCCCTCATCCTCAGTCCCATCCATTGCAGATTATTCCTGGAATCGGATGGAGGGAGGACGTGAAGCCAAGTTCCACTCCACACCCTACGTGGCCTATCTGCAAGGGAAGAACAACCAATTCTGCGGAGGCTTCCTAGTGGCCCCGAACTGGGTGATGACAGCGGCTCAGTGCTTCGCGTAAGTTTTTGCTATGTTCGTACAGCACCTGGCGCAACGAGATTGTCGCACTGCCATGATCCGGGTAACATCTCCTAGCTGGAGGCCCAACAGTTCCAATCACTTCCTTCACGGCTGCGGCCAAGCTCTCTCCCTAGCAGGGGGAGCAGGCTGCGCTGCTGGGACGGGGCAAGGCTGAGGGGGCTCGCACCGCCACAGCTCCCCCTCGAGCCATCCTTCCCCGTGCCCCTCCCCAGCCCATGTTTAGATACTTACCTTTATTTGTTTATTCCCCCCGCCATGACTCATTTTATTCTTCCCAGATGTCAGCAATGAGAAGTCAGACCGGCTTCTTCCCTTGCTGTCGCTGACCTGCTGGCATAGCAGGGATCGCTGGTGTCAGGCTTTGCCTTTTCTGCCACCAAAGACCTCCAAGACTGTATCAGAATTAATAATCTCTTACGAGCAAGGTGCTTGCCCGGCTCTCTTCCACCCCTCCAGCTGGAGAAACTGGGGCGTGGGGAGGCAGGAGGGCTCTCCTAGGTGCACATGACTCTGGCTGTAGCTACCACACTCCTCGGGGCTGACGGCTCTGCCCCGGTGCCAGTAGCCCAGGCTCAGGGCCAGTCCCCGCACGTGAGCAGCAGAAACAAGGATCAGCAGAAGCCAGGAGCCTGGATGCCCAAGCCCCACCTGCTAGATTGAGAGGGGCTCCCACCCATCCCCAGGGCCCCTCCTGATTTTCCTACGGCAGCCCCTTCTGCAGACGGTGCAGAGGCCAGGAAAGGTACATGGGCCCAGAGCAGGGTCCTGATTTAGGAATCCCTCCTTGGTGCCACGGGCTTCCAAAACCTGGACCAACAGCCCACTACCTTAGTGCACAGCAGCAGCATTGGACCACATCTGCTCAGCTCAAGATCCAGAGGTAAAGTAACCCTGGCAGAGCTCCGGTCTGTCAGCCGGGAACTTGCTCTGCTCTTGGCTGGGTAGATTCACTGGCAGAGCTCCTCGCTCCCACCATTCTTCTTTAAAGCCCAGCCAGTCTCTCCTTTTCGTGCCCCTGGGAGATGCGCCTCAGTGTTACCAGGGAAGACGGGAGAGAGCTAATGACCTGCACTGTGCTTGATTTTACCAGACACAAACCTCTGACTGTCATCCTTGGAGCCCACTCAATCCAGAGGAGAGAGGAAAGCTGGCAAACGTTCGAAGTCCAAGAGTATCACTGCCACCCAGACTTCATGAACCCTAAGAAGGGAAATGACATCCTCTTGCTGAAGGTAACTCCCTGCCTGGAGCCACCTGTATGGTCCCGTCTGCCTGACGTGCAGGGCTGAGCTGTAACCCTGGAGCGGGAGGGGACAGCCTTTGTCACAGAGCTTTTGCAGACCAAGCGCTTATTTCTGTGTTTTCTGTCCCCTTGCCCAGCTGAAAGGCAATGCCACCAGCAACAGCTATGTTAGGACCATTTCCTTTGAAAAATCAAAAGTCCCTGGTGGGACTGCGTGCAGCATAGCCGGCTGGGGCTACAAAACACCCCCTGCCACGTTACGCGAAGCCACCGTCACCATCATCAAACAAAGGGACTGCCTCAACCACTACCCTGGACTTGCTGACAACTTGATTTGTGGCCACAGTGGATCTGCTGGGGTACCTGAAAAGGTCAGTCTCTGACTTAGGGAGTGGAAGGCTGCAGGGGAGGTTTCAGCCAGGTGCTGAGCACAAACCTGATCTGGGCTAAAAAACTTCACTGAAAAGGTACTGTCTAAAATTGCTTCTTGTTGTCCCCATTCTTGCCCCCATCCCCGTCCCCCGCCCTGCCATCCCCATCACTCCGTACCTCCTCACCAGCGTCCCTCTCTCTTGCTGTCCTGCAACAAGAGGGTGTTG